TTTTTTCCCCCTTTCTGTCTCCCTGTCTCTCTCTGTCTGGCGAGCGCACATGCCTTAAAGCAAAAACCCCCCCAAAAAAAAAAAAAAAAAAGATTCTATAGAGAATGATAATGAAAAACAAAAAGTCAAGCAAACACTAGCCTAATTCTTTGTTTATCTTTCAGGTCTTAAATGTCACTTCCTCAAGAGAGGACTTCTGTGTCATATTCTTTTATTATTATGATTAATTCACAATATTGATTAATATGATTAATTAGCAATATTGATAACTTGTGTTTTATATATATAATAACTTGTTTCTTATACATCTCTCTCCTAAATCATCTGAGGGCTGGTACTATTTCTGTTTTACTCACTGCAGTATTTCTAGTACAGTGTCCAGCATATACTAGTCTTGAAAGAATATAAATTTTTGTTAAGTCAATGGATAATAGATTAACTCTATGGTACTATTTAGCCAATGACATGGTCCAGTGAAATAATGTAAAGGAAAAAATTGGTAAACTAAAAACTTCTCTATGTTGATATCAGCACTTACAATGGCTAACAAGTGTATTGTTTGTCACTTAGTATGGCTTAGATAGGTCATTATTCTTAACTTACGAAAGGAGGATTCATAAAATATAGGGACCAGCAGATGACATAATGATTATGTTGCTGACGCTCACGTAATCGACCACAGTTTGAATCCCAGACCCGGTAGCTTAAAATTCACGCTGGGCACATGTGGATATGTGCCCAAGATTGTAAGAGGAGAAGAGATTGTGGTGTGGCCATCCCCCCTGGGGGGGTGATTTCTCACTCTCTGTCTCTCTGTCTCTCTAGCAAGCCAATGTGTTCTTATAGGAAAACTCTCTCTAAGAAAAGGGAGGATTTATAAAATGTATAAAAAGCAAAATATAAATGGTAAAGTACATTGAAAATTATTAAGTATTATTTAAATAGTTAATACTGTTAAGAATTTGCTATATGACATGTCTTAGTGGACTGGCTTTTCTTGTTTGGCTCATGGGACTCAGTGTAATTAATTTATGGTTATATAATGCATAAGTGGATGTTAGAGCAGAAATCAGACCTTTCTCGGGTTTTTCTTCTCATTTGATCAACTGACCTTTAGTCATATGAGGAGCCTGTCCAAACACGATCCCGTTTTCTAGGCTAAAAGGGCATGCAGGAATGTTTCCTTTGACTTGGATAGTTCCTGTTCCATCGAGGTCCTGGAGGCTGACATCATCTGTTGGTAGCTTTGAATTGTTTGCTGTGTCCAGGACCAGAAGAGACTTGTGTGTGTGATTTTTTTTTTTTTTACAAAGTTTATTTCTTCTATGTGTGAAACAGAAATAGAATCAGGGAGAGAGATAAAGAGACAGAGACAATACTTCTATCAGAGTTTTGATGCTGTGATCCACTGCCAGGTTCAGCTAGCCCTGGGTCATGTGCATACAGATGTCTGATGTACTTAGCAAAGTGTCTGGATGCAAACTGAGAACCTTTCCATGTGGGTTTACCTTGCAGAACATCATGATTTACTATTCCAATCCTTAGAAGATATTATATGTTTTAAAAGTTTAAATGTTACGTTCATTGGTGGATGGAATTAGAAACAGATTATAAGTTAATTCTGATCATATGTGGAGTTTCCATGTTCTAAGTTAATAGCAACAGGTTCATTGCTTAGACAGAATCCATTCACCTTAGTGGGTTGGTGTTGGCATAGGGAGCTGTTTTGTGGTAAGTTCTAGAATCCTTGCCAATAATTAGTGTCAAGAGTTTGGAGAGGTTCCCCAAGTCTTAGAGTACAACTGCTCTTAATGGGTCTCTTTTTTTCACACCATATGATGGAAATATAATATAGTTTTGTAAAGCCAATATTCATTAACAAAATGAGGTCATGTTAAAGAGGAAAGGAGGCACAGAACTAGTTCTGTGAAGCAAGGACAGTGTGTTGGGATGTGACAGCAAGCTGAGGTGGGCTTATCTAGGACTGTTAGTATATTTCTCCTGAGGCATCCTTACTGTTGCTATTGCATGACCCTATCAGCCATCCAGAATATTGTAATACTAACCATGAAGCCTACATGCAGCTAATGAATGTGCAATTGTTCTTAGCCAAGACAAAGCAGAAAATAAGCTTATATACAAGAATTTAGTTTGAGAATATTGTTCCTTTGTTTATGAGTTTATCTGAGAGTACAGCATGATCAAATTTATGCATGTTTTAATTTGCATGAGAAAGTGATTTACAACAGTGGTACCAGTGTGCTAGGGATATCTCAGTTGTTTGTAACATCCAAACCTCACCACGCTCCCTGGAGATGAAATCTGTTTTCTACTGTAATCACCTAATAAACTATTGGCTGCCAGCTAATTTGTTCTACTACATGTGGCTGCATTAAAGTGAGAGTCATCTTTTCAAATTAAAAAGAAAATGAAGTATGGAGGTAAAGTACTATCTTTGAAAGGCAGTGCTGTTTCATGATTTTTATAAACCTGCCATGTACATAGACTATGTCAATAACTTTTGAGTAGATTATCTTTTCTAGGTGGAAGAAGAAAGATGGTCTTATTATATCTGTTTACATGATTACATGTGCATAGTGTGTGCTGGTGCTTTTGGAGAACCATTATGCCGGTTTGGTTTGTAATATCAAAGACAGTGAGAGTACTGAGCTGTTGGGGTCAGTGTTTACAAAGCTGTATGTGGGTTTTGACTTGTGATGTTTTAGTTTTCAGGGCAGACGTCCCCCAGTGCCCTTCTCCCGAGTGCAGCTGAATGAAGATGCCTCCCTGCATTACGGTCATGCATCAGCAACTCTGACCCTGACCCTGAACCACACAGCGGAGCATCTGTTGGAGGCAGACATTAAACTCTTCCGGAAATACTTCTGGGATAGATCCTTTCTTACCAAGGTGTGTGCCCAGTTATTCTGGTATACAGCAATGCACACTCCTTGAGAGACTGCAGACATCAACTCATTGTTTTGGGAGCAATGTTTTTTGGAGACAGTACTTGCTTTTTTTCTAATGAAGCCTTGAGACCTTGGAATTGGAAACTGTTAGGTCAGTAGGATAAAGATTATTGCATGTTCTGGCAGTAGAAAAATAGTCGTTTGTACATTATTCTTGTTTTTTTTTTTTTTTGCTTTTGAGTCAGCCTCACGCATGGTTGGTTTTTAATATTCTACTATTGACTGTTTTAATTTGTTGAATATAATTCTTATCTAAAACAGTTGCATTTAGGGCTATTTTATAGATGTAATGTCTTCTCTTGGGCTTTCTGATGGCTTAGGTATAGTTGAGCATTTATCCCAGCATAGGTTCTTCTTCAAGGTTCTTCTTGAATGTGGGCAAGTAAGAATCTTGTTCTTTCTCAGACAGATTTTCTTGTCTTCCACTGTGGCCCAAACACCAGCTTTAAGTGCTGTCACGGCATGCCTGTCTCAGGGTTTAAAATGTTTTACCTTCATTATTATTATTATTATTGTCATTTGGATGTCGAAAGGACATAGATAATATTTACCTTTCTTAATTATTTTAAAGCCAAGTGTTATTTGGTGTAAGAAGGGCTTGGATCAGTCTAGCTGACAGTGCCCAGGGTCTAATGGCCTCACTAACTAGCCCCCGTCAGCTCCTGGCTCCCATGTACGTTCAACACCAAGGCACAAGTTTCACGACTACCCAGGCTTTAGAGAGTAAGGAGTCAGCCTAGAAAATTGATATTGTCATTGATCACAGTTTTGGCTTTTGTAAATATTTGTTTCATATGAAGTAAACTAAAGATTTAGTTCAAAACATGATTTGTTACATGAAGATAATTATTAGCTTACTCCATATTTTTATTTAAATAATGAAAATGAAATGTACTCTTTCAAGCATGATCTACTTCTCTTTGTTAGGTTTTAGAAAACGTGCTGTGTAGTTGTCTGATATACAGTATTACATATGGTATATACAAAATGAGGATTTTGGTGAAGGAGACTTGTCATGGAAAGACACTAAAACCATCAGCCATCACTGCAGCTTCCCAGTAAAGCTCCAACTGGTGGTCATTCTTGCCGGGCAGATGCTCAGATCTGCCAAGCAGCAGTTCTCAGAATGAGCACCTGTTTTCCATGGCCCTGGAGGCACAGAACTCAGGCTGGTCCCTGTGGCGTAGAGAGACAGAGCTTGGCAACATACATATCCTCAGAAGAGTCACTCAGACAGTGGCAGGGTACGTGGTGACTGAACTCCTGGAAAGAATAGAATAAGCTCTGTGTATAGCCAACATTAATACACGTTTGCTTCATGATAAACTCCTCTAGTTTCTGTGGTTGAAGTCATGATTTCTCATACACATTTGAGATAATGCTGATGACCTTGGGGAAGGTTTATAATGACTAAATGTAGATGTCTTAATAATTTAGTGATGTGGACTTTGCATTAACAAAGAACAAATGGAGATAGGGCTCCAGTTTTCCATAGGTTTTTGTTTTATGAAAAATACTTGATGGAAGCATTAGTTAAAATAGAATGGCTTTGAGACTAGCAGGTGGTGTGGTGGTTAAGGTGCTGGACTTCCACATAGCTGACTGTGGTTCAAGTCCTGGACCTGGCAGCTTGAAAATTATGCCGGGCAAGTGTATATGTGTGCCCAAAATCCCAGGAGGAGCATTGAGAAGGGATTTTAGCGTGGCCATCCTCCCAGTGAGTGCTTTCTCACTTTCCCTTTCTCTCTGTCTCTCTCCAGTGAGTGCAGAGTGCACACATCCTATGGCAAAAACATAAAAAAATAAAAAAATGGCCTTGTGTTCCAAGTTTCACATTCTTCTTCTCCCTTCCTACCCCAAGGTGTGGCTGGGTAGTGAGCAGGGAAGGGCTGAGATATTTTATGATACCCTGTCATTAATTCTTACTTGCCTGACAAAATGAGTCTATAGAATCTTTTTTTTTTTTTTTGGAGAGGTTTTCGCTATAGGGTGCATGCGCTCATCAGACAGACAGAGAGATACATGGAGACAGAAAGCGAGAAATCACCCCCCAGAGGGGATGGTCACGCCGCAATCCCTTATCCTCCATTCTCCTCTCAGGATCTTGGGCACGCACGCACAGGCGCCCGGTGTGAGTTTTAAGACACCAGATCCGGGACGCGAATCGCGGTCGACTATGTGGGAGTCCAGCGACATAGCCATTACGCTAACTGCTGGTTCCCTAGATTCTTGAATTTAACATTTCTGTGTGATCCACCTTACTTGGCTAGGTAATTATTTTAAATCTAAGCAGGTAGTAATTATTATTTGAGTTGTCCACATTAAAGCTTAACAACTTGGGATGACAAACGTGATTAGATTATATGTAGATGATGTATATAAAAGTTTTATGCTTTAGTGGATTTGACATGTCTGAAAGTCTATTTTTATATGAAAGCTATAGACCATGATTTTGATCTGTGAGACCTGTCTCTTTTCACTAACTGTAGCCCATCCTCTGTCTTCTCCAAGGAGCTATGTTCAGTCTAAGGGTTTGGGAATTGCTTGACTTTCTGCAGCTTTCTAGGGCAATAGATTAATACTTTGCAGCAGAAACCTGACTTTGGTGCAGAACATTTCAGAACTATGCAGATGATCCTTTCAGAAGTCATGCTCACTCAGAGCTGGAAAGGTTTCATGTTTTCACACTTATTTCACAGTTGACAGTGGGAGCATGACAATTCATAATTAATGGTAAGTGTTAAAATGACAGATTTGTGCTAAATATCCGAACTGTAAAGACTGATACTGTGAAATTAAATAATGAGCTAAATATTAGTTATATCTTTTAGTCATTTAAAACATTATCTCCTCATTAAAAAAAAAAACAAGCAAACTCCTTTTCTGTTAATCAGACTCCTGATAATATAATTCTAGAACTCGGCTGAAATTGACAACTAGGAAATTTCAGATTTCTGAAGTTGCATCCAAAATTACTCATAAGGATAAAAATTAAGTTTTAATACTATCCATTTACCAAAATAATTCCCCCTGTCAAATTTCGTTTTATAATCAGAAACCAGCATGGCCTAATGCCCTTTCTCACACAGAGTGGGCTGCTCACTAGGAGTGAGGAATAGGATGAGACAAGGGACTTGGGTTCAGGCTGATCCTGGGTAAACAGATGGAGTATGTGGTCATCTTGGGCCTTGAGCCTGCATAGTGACACCATTCCAGTCCCAGGTTCTTATACTGCCGTTTCCCACTGCCTCCTAAGACAGATCTGCTCTGGTCCAGCCACCAGTTCCATGGTGGGCCCTGGAAGAGAACATTGGGTCTGGAGGTAGGGCTGGGGTGAGTTACCAGCCCACAGAGTGGGTTACTGGCACTTACTGCTCCCTGTTCTGTTGTCATTTGGTAAGTTGTGTATATTTTCATTTTCTTTTTGCTCTGGTCTCAGGATGTTGTTATGAAATAGTCAAAGAGGGAGGCACTCAATTCACTGGATTTAATAACCTGCCTAGTGGACTCAGGGGTCTATGTTAGCTGTGTGGTTACTACCCCAAATATGCTGAAGCTTTGTTTTGGAATGTGTCCTGATGCCGTCTTGGGCTGTTTCACCATTTGGCACATGAACACATAATTCTGTGTTTCTTCACATTTCCATTGGCTGTGGGGAGTCTGAACAGAAAATCCAGACTTTCCCAAGAGGGCAGCTTTTCTCCAAGGCCTTTGGAAAACTCACTAACAGCTCCAGCTAGGGCCAGCTGCAGCCATGTGTACAGCGCAAGGTATGCTTTTACGATCCATAGTTGTCCAGGATCTTCTCTGCCCCTTATCTGATCCTCTGAGATACCCGTATCTTAGGGTGTGGGTGGAGGTTGCTCCCAGTGGATAGATGTGTAAACCAGTAACCCTTCTTTCTGGTTTCAAGATTCTCTGTTCTTTCTGGTTCAGACATCACACTCCCGAGAATGTTCGGGTTGTTGTGACCTTGGAGAGAAGTAAAGGATTAGTGGCAAAGATAGCTTCCTCTCTGGACTCCAGACTTCCTCTAAAATCTGTCACTTTAGTAATCCTGAATTATGGCTGGGTTTTTAATACTTCCTCTAAAATCTGTCACTTTAGTAATCGTGAATTATGGCTGGTTTTTAAATTTTTTTATTTTTTGGCAACTTTTATTTATCCCTTTTTTTCCCAGACTTCCTCAGCTCCTGAGATCCTTGATTATGATTTTTTTCCCCTGTTGCATATCTGAAGTCTCAAATGATATTTTTCCCCCTTTCATTTCTTAGGCTCTTGAGCAAGAAGCCAGACCAGAGGAAAAACTAACTATGCCTGCCAGTCCTGCGGAAACAGAAGAAGGTACCCATGCTCCTTCCTTATTTAGGAATCCAGCATGTGTTCAGCCCTAACTAGTTAACAATCTGTTGAAACATGAGGTGAGGCAGAGCAGGTACATTAAGGGGCACGGAGATAAATCCAGGGTTGTTGGATACAACAAAGCCTCAGGTCATCTGACAGCATTGAACAAAGTGTACTGATTTCACTTTTTATTCAATAGCCTTTACTGAGTGCCATTTTCCAGGCCCTGGGCTGAGTGCTCTCACCTTCCTGATCTTCAGTGCATTCTCTTACAGATTGTTTTCTCCATTCCAATGTTTGGTTTGTTCATTTACTTAGTGCTTCAGTCAGTTGTTATTCTTTAGCTCATTCAATACTTATAAACTGCTACTCTGTGTTGGGCCAGTGGATTTTGGATATCAATGGTGTTTTGTCATGAAGGTTGGGGAGCACAACTGGCATTTAAATGTGAAGGTCCAGGAATGCTGGATGTTCTTCAGGGCACAGAACAGTCCTGTGTAACTGAGTTGTCCTGAACAGCTGTTTGTGGACCTGATTCAGAGACTGAGTGTACAATTCTACTCATAGAGAGAGAGGGAGAATTTTTTTAAGAGAGATTTTTGCTATAGGGCATGTGCGCTCTCCAGAGAGACAGAGAGAGACAAAGAAGCAGAAAGTGAGAAATCACCCCTCAGGGGAGATGGCCCTGACACAGTCCTTTCTTCTCCATTCTTCTCTTGGGATTTTGGGCATGCACACACATGCAGCTGGTGTGAGTTTCAAGGCACCAGATCTGGGATTCAAACTGCAGTTGTTCATGTGGGAGTCTAGAAACATAAACATTATACCATCTGCTGGTTCTAGAGATTTCTTTTTTTAACAATACATCATCACCTCTCTGTTCTTTATCACAACACATGAAATTATGCTGATGCTACACTGTTACACAACTCCCAGCTCATTTGCAGGGACATCATAATTTCTCATTTTCTCTAAATTGGCAGTTTATCTGGCCATGTAATTATTACTTCAGTCTGGTCATTTCCCCTTTTCCATATACAAGTAAGTCTGGTTGGTCTGTAAATAATTTATTACTAGTCAGTCCTCATAAGAAACATGGATTTTTTATTCTAGAATACATTTTTATCTCTGTTTTTGTATCTTCCTGATTTGGAATGGATTCTTATTTTTTTCTCCTCAAAACCCCGTAGGTACAAAACTCTAACCATATCATTGTAAAATAATTAATGCAAAGATTTTATTTATTGAAATATGTATTTTATTATTGGTTACTTTCCTTTTGCTTCATATTTTAGTTAGGATATTAAACTGAGTTTTCATTTTTTGAAATTGCATGTGAAGATAAATCTGGATATGTTTGGGAGTATAGAATTACACTCTCTATTAACTTAATTCCATGATAGTGAAGGGAACAGTACTAATTATCTGTTAATGTAAAGAGACTGATAGGGCTGAGAACCACCATGCTGGAGGCTGGGATTAGGAGTGAAAAATAGGACGAGGTCCTTGTTCCTAAGATGCCAATGTAAACAACTGGTTCTGTTTTGAACTGAAAACAGAATAGCTGCATTCCAGGTATTTGTCAGGTAATATAATCTTAAACTTTTGGCTCCTGTGTTTATTTAAAAGTAGTCTTGGAGAGGAAATATTTATGGTGAGTTGCTGAGAGTTCATGTGATCCATCGAGGTTGCATGTGCGTCTGACTGTTAAGCCTGACCTGCTGAGTTTCCTACCCAACTGCACCTTCTTGGCCTCTTGCAGTTGCCTTTCTTGTTCTTCTCTGTGGGTGATGCTGCTGGCTGTGCTGAGGAAGTTAAGCTTGCTCTGCCCAAGAAGGGTGGTGGGTACAATTCATTTTCTCCTTGAGAGCTTGCGGGAGAAACCTCTTTCAGGTCTTGTGTCAGGAACGCTGGCTTCTCTCCTGAGCACTGGCTTTTCTTTACTGCTGTAACTGTAGCTGATCATGTTTCTTGCTTTTGGTTGGCTGATAATAAAAACTTGGCACTAAGTTTTTGGCCTGCCTATTGCAAATACCTAGGGTACTCTTAACTGCATCTTTATATCCTTATTTCTTAAGATTCTACCCTTATTTGTTTGTTTTTTTAAAAATCATCTTGTATATATATTTTTTATCCCTTGTAATCTACCTTCAAACTAATTTAGAACAAAATGAGGCCTAAATAAGTACTTAAATCCCAAGTTCTTATTCTTAAGGGGCATAGAGTATAGGGTCGGAGCAAAAAAACCCAACTCTCCCAGAGTGGTATGATACATACTACAGAGTCTTTTGCACAGCACTGTGAGTACGCTGCAGATTGTGATAGTGTGGTGTGGTTAGAGAAAGCTTCCTGGAAGAGGTGATGCTAGAGCTGTGATCTAATGGAGGGAAGGATATTCTAGACAGTAGAAATACATTCCGTGGAGAGTCCTGAACCAGATGATGCATGGGGGAAAATGCAGATCACTTTACAATCCTGTAATATAGGTGTGTGTGTGTGTGTGTGTGTGTGTGTGGTTTATTTCTTAAGATTCTACCCTTATTTGTTTGTTTTTTTAAAAATCATCTTGTATATATATTTTTTATCCCTTGTAATCTACCTTCAAACTAATTTAGAACAAAATGAGGCCTAAATAAGTACTTAAATCCCAAGTTCTTATTCTTAAGGGGCATAGAGTATAGGGTCGGAGCAAAAAAACCCAACTCTCCCAGAGTGGTATGATACATACTACAGAGTCTTTTGCACAGCACTGTGAGTACGCTGCAGATTGTGATAGTGTGGTGTGGTTAGAGAAAGCTTCCTGGAAGAGGTGATGCTAGAGCTGTGATCTAATGGAGGGAAGGATATTCTAGACAGTAGAAATACATTCCGTGGAGAGTCCTGAACCAGATGATGCATGGGGGAAAATGCAGATCACTTTACAATCCTGTAATATAGGTGTGTGTGTGTGTGTGTGTGTGTGTGTGGTGTGTGGGGGGGATGGTGGTAGCGACACCTGGAACTTAAGCTAGAGAGGTAGGTAGATTGACAAAGTTTGCACATGAGGCAATGAGCTGGAACTCCACCCTGACCACTCTGGGAGCTGTTTTAAGAAGATTATTATTTTATTTATTTATTTATTTATTTTTTGGAGAGGTTTTCGCTATAGGGCGCGTGCGCTCGCCAGACAGACAGAGACATAGAGACAGAAAGCGAGAAATCACCCCCCAGGGGGGATGGTCACGCCGCAATCCCTTCTCCTCCATTCTCCTCCCGGGATCTTGGGCACGCACGCACACGCGCCCGGCGTGAGATTTAAGCCACCGGGTCCGAGACGCGAACTGCGGTCGACTACGGGGGAGGCCAGCGACATAGCCATTACGCTAACTGCTGGTTCCCAAGAAGATTATTATTTTAGAAAATTTCTCTAGAGTGAGTATGGAGAATGGATTGGAGGGGCCAGGTGGGAGGCAGGAAAACCAGCCAGGGAGCTGCCAAAAGTAATGCAGATGAGAGCCTGCTCCATAGCAGTGTACCGAGAATGGAGAGGTGGGAACAGGAGAGTACAGTCCTGAAGGTGTGGGGTCTGATCTGGTGTCAGTGGTGAGGGAGGATGATTCCACCATTACTTGGTTGCGTTCCTGGGTGGGATAGGCCTTACACTATGGCAAAATGTTCTCAGTGATAGACAAGTTGAGTTTAATGGGCTTAAGGGCAGCCAGATTAGTATACCTGGCTGCTAATTAGACTTAAGACACTCAACTAATAAGCTGAAGAATCTGGACAGAAACCAAAACCCTTTCACTCCAACTAATTCATGCATGTATTTTAAAGACCTTCTGGACAATGCTTTTGTATTTGTCTGCCCTTAAAGGAATATTAGAAACTGTATGCACATCCCAGCAGAGGGCAGTATTCAACTGAAGTGGAAATACTCAAACTACTTTTTGTCCATGAGCTTGGAGAAGACTCAACTGGAAGAACAAAACATTTTGAATTTAAGAGCTTCCTCTTTTTTTTTTTTAACCCTAAAGCAAACTTTAATTTGAAGCTTTTATCCATAGCTGTCACTGATTAAAAGACTATAATGATGTTAGCCTGGGAATTAACTTAGCTGTTTCTGTGATAAATGAATTTATTATTACCTATGAACCAATTATGTTTTCATAATTTTATTATTGTAATTGTACTTCAAGAATAATGGGAAGTTATTCCAAATGAATTAAATGACCAAAAAGTCATCTCATTTTAATATGCTCACAGTAATAAGCTAATTATTAGTATTTATGACAAACTGGCTCCATTTTCACCTCTTACCTTCTTGTCTTTAGTTGATCTCTCTAACCAAGGATTTTCTTTTTTTTAATTTAATTTTTTTATTATCTATATATTTTTTATTATTATTCATACATTAAATCACTATACATAATTTAGATTGTGAAGAGACTTTACCCAGCATGATATACACCTCAGCCCAGCCTAGTTGAGACCACCATACACATCCCTGTCAACAGGTAATAGACCATAGCTGTGTCCCACAAGTGTCTTACCTCTCCATTCCCCCCTGCCAAATTTCCTATGCTCTTCTACTCTTACACTCTCTATCCACTTTGTCTCTAGTGTCCATTACAATTGTTAATACTTTTATGTTCTCCAGTCTTTCAGTATCTACCATATAGTGTGGACAGTCGGTATATGTTAAGTGGAGACATGCAATGTCTCTCTTTCATAGCCTGACTTGGTTCACTCAGCAACAAATCTTCCATATTCGTCCACTTTCTATCAAATTCCATGGCCTTGTTTTTTATGGCTGAATAGTATTCCATGGAGTATATGTGCCACAATTTTTCAATCCATTCATCTGTTTGTGGACATTTGGGTTGGTTTCATGTCTTAGCAATCGTGAATAAGGCTGCAATGAATGTAGATGTACAAACACCTTTCCGACTGAGTGCCCCCCCTTCCTTTGGGTAGATTTCCAGGAGTGGAATTGCTGGATCATATGGTAGATCTATTTGAAG